CTTTGCCAGAAATAATTAAAAATGATCCTTCAGTTACTAAATTAAAAAATCATCTGGATTTACCAGGCTTCGTTGTTCCACGTTATTTCTCTCACGGTAGCAGACTGGGTCAGATTCTCCATGCGAGATTGCGGATGGAATGTATTTCACTAAATTTCTATTTATTTCGTCGAAATCTTGTTAACAGTCCTATGTGTTCTTGTAATGAAGGAGAAGACATTTTCTATTAAAGTGTCCCCTCTTCTCCGACCTCCGTTTACACTGTCTCGGTCAATTAGACAACCATATCACTGTTGAAGTCTTGCTTTTCGGTGATAGTGAATTATCATACGACGAAAATTCTTTTGTTTTTTCATGTGTTCAAAATTTTGTTATTAGTTCAAAGAGATTTAAATAATTTGTTTGTTTATGTTATGTCTTTAATCGTAACAGTTTTTCCCCATGTTCTTCTTATCACAATACACAGTTGTTAATTGAGCTTATCACAGAGATGAATTTAATGTACTTATACCTTCTATTCTTGTTAATGGCATGGTAAACCTACCAGTCTTATTCTTTAAGCTCTTCTTTCCTTATCCTCTTTTCCTATTTCTTTTCTTTCATAAGAAATGCATTTATTTATTGTTTTGTTTGTGATCTGTTTCCCATTTGTCAACATCTTGCTTGTTACAGAAATGGAGACGGATTTATATAAGTTGTATAACTTGTTTCCGAATCCAATTTCAATTGTTATTTTTTGTGATGTTTCATGTCTATGTATGTAAAGAAAATGAAATAAAATAAAGTTTACAACAATCTCGCTGAGGAGACTTCAGCAACCATTTTTTTTCATCTATTTCACACGTATGTATATTTTGCAAGTACCGTAATCATTAAAACATGCTAACATCAACACGGTTCGGCACAATTTAATACAACACCAGCCCTTTCCTTATCAAAGATGTTTTGTCGGTTAATATTCTTTCACGAAAACCAGGTCAATTTATTAAAAGCCAAATACACAAGCAAGAAAATGTCAACAACAATTCAAACACAAATTTAACACCGGGGTTTGTGAGCAATACAATTCCCACAACTCGTTAATGACCACCTTAGGTCATGTGAATAGTTACGGAAACTAAAAATCAATCCATAGTGATATGACCTTATATACCTAGATACCAGTTCAGTCAATATCATAAAAATCAGAAGTCAATAACGATAAATTTAGCCGCTGTGAGGTTATAAGATAAAGAAACAAACTTGTCGTCGATAAAGATTAGGACGATTAATCTTCTGGAACACCTGGTCGTTTTCTCTTTGTACTTGTCCATGTGTCTGTGTATAAATCTGTCTTTTGTTCATTTTTCGCCCTACTTTGAATCTGAGTTTGAATTTTCATTATGTTGATATTTTTTGTTGTTTTTCTGACAGTGACTCAGGATGTCAGTATTAAAATTCCTTAATTGATGTATGCCACACAAACCCAGAGGTCAGTACTGAAGCAAACGTCAGTGTTTAGTTTTCGGCGGTGCTTTTCAGCTGTATTGAATTTGAGCTTGGATAATGATGCGGTTTACATGTTTGTATTTTCTTGTGTTTCCAAACAAACCCTTAGGAGTCCGTAATATATTTGTATTTTCTTGTTTTTCCAAACAAACCCTTAGGAGTCCGTAATATAGTTGTATTTTCCTGTTTTTCCAAACAAACCCTTAGGAGTCAGTAATATATTTGTATTTTCTTGTTTTTCCAAACAAACCCTTAGGAGTCAGTAATATATTTGTATTTTCTTGTTTTTCCAAACAAACCCTTAGCAGTCAGTAATATAGTTGTATTTCCCTGTTTTTCCAAACAAACCCTTAACAGTCAGTAATATATTTGTATTTTCTTGTTTTTCCAAACAAACCCTTAGGAGTCCGTAATATATTTGTATTTCCCTGTTTTTCCAAACAAACCCTTAACAGTCAGTAATATATTTGTATTTTCTTGTTTTTCCAAACAAACCCTTAGGAGTCCGTAATATAGTTGTATTTTCCTGTTTTTCCAAACAAACCCTTAGGAGTCAGTAATATATTTGTATTTTCTTGTTTTTCCAAACAAACCCTTAGGAGTCCGTAATATAGTTGTATTTTCTTGTTTTTCCAAACAAACCCTTAGGAGTCCGTAATATAGTTGTATTTTCTTGTTTTTCCAAACAAACCCTTAGGAGTCCGTAATATAGTTGTATTTTCTTGTTTTTCCAAACAAACCCTTAGGAGTCCGTAATATAGTTGTATTTTCTTGTTTTTTCCACACAAACCCATAGGAGTCAGTAATTGTCTTCCTCACAACCTCAGAGGGTCAGTATTGAACTTCAGTAGTAAGTGTAATCTTCAAACCCCAGAGGATCGCTTAAAATACCCGATGTGTTTCACACGAACCCAAGAGGTCGCTATTGACAAGAGGAAAAAGCAAACTCGTTGAATTTCATTTTAATTGGTCTTCGATATCGTGATGTATGACGAAATATATCTTATAAAAATAAATAAATGATATAAGAGAAATGATTTCTAACATAGTCACGAGTGTAGGGACCTTCATTCATTCAAGACACCACACCACACCACTTCGGATTGGTCTATAGAATTAATGGCGCGTGTAATATTCATCGTTATTGAATAGAAAGAGAAAATGAGAAAGAGCAGTTCACTACTTTGAAATTGAACACCTCTGTTGTGGTACAGCGTCGATTAAGCTGATTCATGAGAGCAATTAGTGGTAGTAAGTGATATATTTAGGTGTAGGGGACGGCCTCTAACCGAGTCGTATTATATTACATTAACCTAACATTATTACATGAATGCTGTGTATATTTTATGAAAGAAAGTGTCAGATAGATGTCGTGATGCCCCAATATGTAAGTGTCAAAGACAGGTTCTATATAATTTACAGAATGTATATTTGTCAACGGATGGCGGTGCATTTGAATAGAAAACGTGTGTCAATGATGTGTTTCATAAATAGATAAAAAATACTGCGATCATTCTGTAACAAAAAACCTTTACGAATTAGAATTAAAAAATCTCACAGTGCCCTCTACTTCATCCTGATATATTGGGTGGTCATAATCCAGAAAGGTATCTCTATAATACACCACTATAAGGTCAAGTTCATGGACTATGAGTATGAAGGTGACGTTCTACTTAACACTGTCATTGACAATTTTAACTGACGAAAATAACAATACTCTTATTGAAATACTTGTCATGCATTGTAACAATTAGCAAAATGCTATTTAAAGTTAATACCTACCAATAGGGACAGTTTTCTACCTAGCCGTATGATATGATGATTTGTTTTGTTTGTGAAGCTGTCCACTTCCAGATAACCATGTTTCACAAATTTTGTTGTATGAATAACGTATGTATATAGTTTGGTGATGAAATATTAAAATCAATTATATATTTAACTGTTTCTCGTGTTTTTATCTGATAAAATTGCTAGTGAAATTCAACATATTGTTTTAAGCAGCCTGAAAATTCGATTTCCGAGCATGTGACTTTTAAGCATTTGTCTGTCTATCTGTCTGTCCGTCTGTCTTGTAATATATGAAGTCAAATATCACAAGCCCACAATCTTTTTACTTCTATCTTATAAAATGTGGATTCCGTGTTTCAGTTCTCACTCGCGATAATATGATACAATATATTCATATGGACAATTTAATCTATCATTTTGAACACTTCCTCCATAAGACACTGTAGATCGAATACTACTTTCCATCTATTCCCAAGTACTTGTTTACAAACTAATTTGAAGCATGGATGAAACAATGATAGATATAGTGTGATAACAGTGATCTCTGATTGTTTACGTTACACAAAGAGGACAAAAACTGTCATTTTGAATCTGAAGAAGGAACATTTGGAACAACTACAGCAAAACTTTTTTTTCTTGAGTCGCGGTATAAAGCGTTCTTTTGTGCAGAGTCTGGCCCAGTTTTATTGAAATTGTTTTTGGATTATAATTATATTGACATATGTTTGCTTGTTTTTTTTTTTTTTTTTTGAAACTTTTTCGAATTTTTGTATATACTCGAGGTTTAAGTGTTTGACTTATGGTAAGTAGGCGTTTATTAAAATTACCATGTACGTTTATGAAGGTTCATAAAATAAAAGCGCTAGGTAATTTCTATGACAATAATAATACAGTCTAGCTCTTTAACATCCAATCTCAGGTTATGCATTCAAGCAATATAGCATCATGGAATATAAATAAGATCTTTTCATTTTTTGTCAGTCTTTGTCAAAATAAAATGTTTAGAAAGGCTCATAAATCACACACTCACAGAAACATTAAAAATATTTTGGAACATACAATCGATTGTTCATGCAAATAATGTAGAAAACGGACCTTTCCATTTCCAGTTGGAAGTAATTTCGGCTCTATATATATGGTTTCTCATCCTTTCATTATCTAAACCTGAAGAAACAATATATTAATATATAAAAGTGAATCCATTAAGAAAAAAAGTGTATTGTCGATGGTTTGAAAAAAATGGTGAACAAAGTACATCTGGACTTATCATCCTTGACCTTGACAGTCTTTTATAATTTTTCTTATTTTTTTCTTCTTACTTCTTGATTCTCTGTGTGAGTTTTTTAGAATTTTTATTCAACTTACGGAACGCGTCTGTGGACGTAAAGGAACAGATATTACGTCCTGACACCCGTTTTTCTTACATCGTGTTTGTGTCGTATATATTTCATGCTGATAATATCGCTCCAAACTTTGCGTCGTTTATGTGCCACTTGACTCATTTTATGAAAGCAAATAAAAGGCGGGTGTGATGTACGACTTTTTTTATATGCATTTATTCATATGACAGAGTAGCTTATATGTAGGAAGGGAAATAACTCGTTTTAATTTATAGCAATAATCATCTCGAGCCATCTGGATATACGGATATACGAGCTCTGATACAGTAATCGAAAGAATTTATGGATATATTTGATAAGATTGAAATATTTCAAACCTCGTTTTCAAAAGAAAAATATTGCCATAACTAATGGAAACAGCACGGCGACCATGGTGGTTATGTAGAAGAAGAGGAGAATGGAAGGTACAGATCCACCAGTTGTTTCAAGTGTGTCCTCAGACTTCATACAGTAGGAAGCTGAAATACAACAAACATCAAGAAAATTCTGACATAGCAAAGTAATCATAATCCAAACTCAAATTCCATAAAACTAGGGCAAAATATGAACAAAAACAGAGATTTACACTATCACACTATCAGTCTTCCTTATAGGAATTAACCATAACTATCATTCAACATTCCGTTTATACACTGTATACGGTTGTTGTTTTATTTCACTCTGTTCTGTTTTAATTTAATCTAAATTTTGGGTGAGGGTCGATGGTTTTCATCATCCTCGAAACTTCAGGGTTTACAATCACTGTCGCTCTCTGCACCCCTGGAACATGCCTTAGCCGAAATGAAGACAAAAGCGATGTAGCTTGTTAAGTCTAGAACGGGTTCCTTGAGAAAAACACTGACCAATCACTAGCTGGAACGCTCTTTTGAAGATTACAAAGGAGCGAGATCCAAGTTAAAAGTCAGTACAATGTATCGACCTCGAGATTCGATTGATGTACAGTACATCAAAGGCTCAAACTTGTTTTTATTTTGTCTTGTCCACAAGGTTCCGTGCGTACATCCTTCATTTTTTCCACGACAGTGGGGAATGAGCGATAGTGTATGAAAGATGGATTTTCTTTTACCAGAAAAGCAGTCAAAAGAAATGTGATATTTTGTATTTGGAGGTCAGTGGCACCATATATAGACATTATGTATTTTTCTATAAAAGGTGATACGTACAACAGAAGTATAATTACACTGAAAACCGTTATACATGTATGTAGTCCATGATTCTGTAATAAGACGTATCTGGTAATACATTTTATACTATAGCGTTTAGTTTTCCCCACCTTTCGTTGTCATGCTGTATTTACAGATTTCGAGGACCATCTCCCAGACTACTTGTAGTACCACCCATACTGTTGTCACGACTGTACCAAACAACTGTTGGGCAGCAGGCAGAAAATCCGTGTTAAATATGACGAAGCATGACAGGGCTGAAACCAATTATATAAATACAGCATCAGTGATTGGTCAACGCATTGTAGAGAGTCGTACTCTGGCAATAAAGACACACAGGTGAGAAGCACCTTCCTGTAAGATTGTACAAAAGACACAGATGTTAACAGCACTTTTTACTGAAAATTTAGAGTTATATACATAGAGCCAAACAAGAAAATAAATAAAGAATACATGGCAAGTGCCTTAAAATATAAGCTGTATTTTGGCGAGGGGGAAGAAAGTCCAAAATGGCGAGCCTTTGGCGAGCCACTTCTATCTTTCTGTCCCTAAATGAAATGCAGAGGCTGACTTCTTTTGATTTTCTTCTCCTCGCCAAAAATAAAACAGCATATATTTTAAGACAATGACTAAGTATTCTATTTATCCTGCTTGCAAGTCAGACAATCAAGACTTCAACATTTCGGTTGTTTAATCTTTGTTTACCTGACGTTTATGTTACGATGGATTTTTGCCTGATAACGAACGTCATTATGATTGCTCCGCGCAGAAATATAGTTCCAAACATCATAGCATATGACAGCGATTTTATGAATTTCCGTCAATAACCTTGTTCATTACAATATATGGAATCGACTATTTCAAGAGTTGTTTTTAGTGTTAAACGTAATTTTTGAGTAATTTCAGAAAGTTATTCTGTCGAATTTACACACGTGCTAAAATACAGCTGTTTTCTGTCACTGCCGAATACAGCAAAAATATTTGTGGCAGGTGTATTCCAACAAGGCAAATTCACCTGAAAGTGAAGACTTTTCTGTGAAGTTGAAAATAAATTCTTGGGACAATACTTCATTTTCGTCACAATTAACTAAGAGACTGATTTTATTTGGATTTTGCGGGAAAGTGTACTACATTATTAATTAATTACAACATACTAGAACCATTTGTTTTAGATGCAGTTCGCAAGTTTTCACCAAACTTTTGGACACAAATCATTGAATAGAACATATATTCCAGGAGCTCTCTTTTCTTACCAACCTTACCTGCTGCGATATGTAGTGATTTTCCCAGTATAAAATGCAACCAGTTGAAAACTGGTCGTACACAACTCTTAGACCCCGGCCGCAACAACCCTCCGAGGACTTGTAAAGTAACGCCGGATATCACAGCTATTCCAAGCCAGCTGTGGAGCACTGCAACCTATAATTTTATGTCAGATCAGTTTTAATGATCTTCTTTTAAGGTTAAAATTCATATCTTTAATTCAATTAAACTTTTTTCATATTTAGATAGTCCATTTCGTTTTATGAAGCTGGACGTGTTGGATTCTGGTTAGTTTGCCTGATAGTTCTGTTGCTGTATACATTGTTCGCATTCCAGAACGTGACATTACTTACTTAAAGTGACCAAAACTGTCACCAATACATTATTTCATTAGCGACTTATTCGCGATGTGTTATTTTGGTAGGAATAGGTCAAAATATGTTTCACGTTTAAAAAGTTTGTCAAAATTTAAAAACAAACCCAGTAAATTTATATAATATTAAAACACAAGTAAAGGACATTGCATATTTTCTTCTTTCTTTCTTTCTTTACATGTATGTATTTATCTATCTAGTTTACATGTATGGTCTTCATCTAAACAATAATTTAATCACAGAAACCCAAGATGGAAAATTTGACATTCTAACATCGCGGCATTTCATTGAAATACGAAAAGCTGAGTAAGATAGAAATTCTAACCTTAGAAAGACCTTCCACCTTCATGAATATAAGAACAGACGATGCTGCGGTGATCGTTACTGTCAGCACAGCTGTACCCCTGTGTACCTGTTGTAGTAACACGAAACAAATATTTTAACAACAACAGAAGTTACTATTAGATAAGCATTCACTTTTAACCGTCATGATATCAATGTAATATACCAATCCATGCATAGCTGCTGTAATACACTTGTAATACTGCATAGTGGAGGTGAGATTAAAATCGAATTTCACTATTGTTTCCAATATGACGTCATAACTACACGACATCATCTGCATCGTGAAGTCACAAGAGGAAGAGACATGGAGAATGAAAATAAATCAGGTTTCGTGTCAGTCTAATCATTATTTATGTTTGCAAGAGTTTCCAATTAAACTTGTAACCAGGACCTTACTTTCATCTCTATTTTATTATTTTCATTTCACGACGCCAAAAATAGATAAATAAAACTAGTTTCATAAATCTCGTATGAAAAGAGCTTCATGGTAATTCCCCGATATTAGATTAGGCACGATGTAGTTTTGAGTTTAATGAAAATAACCACATTTTGATGTGTATTCTAAGATCAGGAAAAATAAGTAGTTGAGGCTTATTGAACAATGACGTTTTCTTTTGGTTATTTTTTACCTGAAACCAGACATCAGTGCCGAGCAGTTTTGTACCGGAGGACATGTGTTTGAAGTATCGGGATACAATTGTCGTAGCTCCACCAAACAGAACCCAAGCCACCAGCATCAGGACTCCTACACATCAGTTAATAACCAAATCTATAAACAATGATTCAATTTCCAATGGTCCGATTAAAAACTTTTAAGACTTTTGAAATAGTTTGTTTATTCCATTATTTAGTTTAAATATCTTCAATAACAACAAAGAAAATACCATAAATCTCAACAGAACCATAAATAAACTCATTCATACACAACACAATACATTGTTAGTCCTACAAATTTTGTATCTGTCGTAATAGTTAGGAAATGACATACCATGGATGTTTGTCAGGAGTGGTAAGGATTTTCCACGGTATATATCGTAACTGTTGAACTGTATCTGCTGTGATGACGTCACTGGTAACTGATTATGCTTTGCCATGACGTCAGTTCCTTAAGAAGAAAAAAAATCAATGATAGCATGTGTAATCAAGGAATCGAAAGTAACATTTTTAATTGTAATAATATGCCGTCGAACTTCGTTATCTCGAACTAGTAAAACTAGAAGACCACGTATAATTCGAAGTACTTCGTCTGTTCCGGCCAAACGCTTCACCAAACATTCGATATTACTTAAATCGAATACTCGGATAACGCGAACTTTTCAAACGGTCACACCGACTTTGAATTACATATCTGGATTGCTTATGACTGACTTATCACTGTATATCTCAGATCAGCTGAGCTTTGAATATTTTTGTGACTAGTTCATTCATTTACAAATCTTTTGAGCTCTCTTGCACTTCGTGTAAATCCGGGTTATTTGGTTCACCGGTTTGAGGTCTGCTGCGTTTTATACAAACCTAAATGAGGTTGATTTATGAATCCATAACTGACCATTTCATTTACTAATTTTGATATCAGTAGCTTGATTGGTTTGCAAAACTGAACTTGTTGTTTGAATAATTCATCTGGAATGCGGGTTTATGAACAACAAACGGACGTTTTGTGTGTTCAAAGGTTTTATGTGAGCAAATGGAAAATAATGATATCAGAAACTGTTTTAAGCTTTAAAAGAAAAATAGCATCCAACTATTCCGCCTATCTTAATTTACCCATAAATACACTTTAATATATTAAATATTCAGACATGTCAACAGAATCTCGATTTAAACTCCAAACCAATGAAAGATTTACGCGGAAACCATTTGATAATTTACATAGATGTAAGGAGAAAGATGGTAGGTGTTCCGGAGTGATAACCGTTTTTTGTTTCATCGGTTGATCAAACCAAGTAAGTGTTACCACGTTTCCAAATGAGAAGGTCAGCAACAACAACCATGCTAATGAGCATAGAAGCAGACACCCTATGACGAAACAAACGGTCATAAATACATTTTCGAAATACCTTCAAATACATCACCCCACGCTACCATCAAGTGATAGGAATCATGAAGGTCAAAGGTTATCACTGTACCGTCCTCGGCGGAAACATTCATGGCGTAGGGTCGTCTGAAGGAACATGTCATCATGCCATCGACATACGTGCTAGCCATTTCGCTCAACAAGTCCATCTTGAAAACAGAGAAAAACGGTTTAGTTATGTTGTAACTGTCTTGAATTAATCACTTGATGTCAAACACTATTGAAATACATCGGAAGGGAACCCTGCTATGAATTCTACCTTGTACTGGCGGTCGTTGTGCCGGCTGGGATTATAGCCGTGCTGGAAACTAACGGTGTTTCCATCATACACACAAGTAATTGTTTCATCCTCTCCCTAAAATTACAAAAATAAAAACAAAACTAAATTGTCAATACGATCAAACGTTTACAATATTATATAGGTTAAAACTGTGTCCAGTTTGTATGTCTTTAAATGTACTACTTCAGATAAGCATAATTCAGTTGTACTTATATCAGGGAAATCTATATACACTAAATATTGAAGAAAAACACAGGGAAACCTGTCTTGATTAGATATTGAAGAAAAAAACAATGAGGGAAACCTGTGGAAACTTAATATTGGTGATTATTTAAGGTGTTTCAGGCACATACCTTGAGAAAATCAAGCAATTAAATACGATTGATCAATTAAAAGCGATTAAAGTTTCAAACTTGACATGAACTAACCATATCTATGTTATGACATCAATTACGAAAAACATCCGTACCATAGTCATATCTCCTGAAAAGCCGATGGAGACATAGTGTTCCGCATTGGCCCACATCTGAAAGGTGACATTGTCTTGGTCAGTGCTGAAGGTGACTCCCGCTGTACAGTCCGGTCCACTGCAGTAGATAGGGTACAATAGACACCCTAAGTTCACTCCGCACGCGACGTGGTCAATCGTGATTGGTTCAACAAGGATCTGACGTATATGTAAATTTAGATATTTTCAGTTAGCATAGCAAATGGTTTGCATGCATAAGACATAATTCAATGGCTGACGATCTTCCTATGATAATAATTTCTTAAAAATAATGTTGTATGTTAGTGGATCATAAACCAATTTTAAAGAATTAATCATGTTGATTATCATTTAATTGAATCATTAGAGTTTATCGTCAATTACAAATTGACATTACAAATTTGAATTGGTCTGCCAATAATAGCATGCTTTACAGTCCCCCAATACTAGCGTGTTTCAAAGTCTCTCAACAATAGCTTGTTTAACAGGATCACGATAATATCGTGTTTTACACTCTCACAACGGTAGCGTGTTTTACAGTCTAACGATTTTTACGTGTTTAACAGTGTCACGATTATGGCGAGTTTTATAGTCTCACGATAATAACGTGTTTTACTGTCTCATTATAATAGCGTGTTTTACACTTTCACAATGATAGCGTGTTTACATTGTTACGATAATAACATGTTTTACTGGCTCATGACAATAACGTGTTTTACAGTCTTACGATAACTTTGTGTTTTTCAGCCTCACGATAATATCGTGTTTTGCATTCTTTAGTTACCGGGTTACTTATTGGCTGCTGAATGAAAGTATCGGACGGCAGCTCTGTCGTGACATTCCACCAAAATACTCTGAATGATTCCAGAAATGTCGCCCTGAAGAAAATATCAAAAAGCACCAATGATTTAATTACTAAGACTAGTAAAATGATACATTATTATAATATTCCCTCGGTCTAAACGTTCTGTATGTTTATCTAAGTTGTCCATCAATGTTAATTCTATATTTGTGTTTTGCAAATTACATGTATAAACAAAGAAAGGAACACTAACTTATGACGTAGATATATAGAAAGTCATACTAGATAACTAGTAATACATAGAAAACATCTCTGTTATAATGATTTGTTATCGTTACCTATATACTTACCTAAACGTTACGTTTCCTATTTCTGAATCTGGTGCGTTCCATGTCAGTCGGATTACACTCACTGGGTCGTTGTTTTTGTGTGTGATGTAATTCTAGGAAAATAAAACCCGTTGATCCATTGTGACGATTTTAACGAATGAATACAAAAATATTTATATCATAAAATATAAAACACATTTACCCACAATATGCCGGATATATATAACCTTATACCAAACAGTAAGCAATAGTTTTCTATTTATCACTCACTGCCTCTCCGCCAAGGAAGTTCCCTGTCATAAGCTTATCCTGTGGGAAGTTGGTGAAGCTTCCCAACACCTCCTCCCTATCGCCGGACTGCCTGTGTACCACCAGAATGATCCCGATAAACTCTCGTCCATCAGAAGCGTGCAGACTAACTAAATTGAAAGATTTGCACGTCAGTAGCCTGTAGAATAACTAAAATGAAAGTTTAGGGTGCTAGTAGCCTACAGAATGATTTGAATAAAAGTTTAGGGCGCCAGTAGCCTGCAGAATAAGTAACATGAAGTGAAATATACGTTTATGACGTCCGGAGCTTGCAGAAAAACAAAAATAACAGGGACATCAGTAGCCTACAGAAAACAAAAATTAAAAGCATAGGGTGTCAGTAGCCTGCAGAATAACTACAGTAGAAGTCTAGGCACCAGTATGTTCCTGAGTCGCCTTGGTTTCAACTATTCAGGCCATTAGTAGCATCGATGGGAACCGGAAGAACGAAACAGCTGTTAATGGAGTTCGTTTTATTATTTCATACTATCATCTAATTCTTTATTTGAATTAAAAGTTGTTAATGGATGCCATTTGTGCAATCAGCGAATAATATTGTTTTCTTCTATATCAGGAAAATGTTTTGTTTGTTTCAACAACCAGCTATGCAGTAACGTTTCACGATCATACTTCGGAAATGCTTGAAATAAATACATTTTGAATATTAAGTATAGGCTACATTATCACGGATTGTTATTCTGTCGAACCAGAAACTGTAAAACACATCCCAATGTTTTGTTTTCAAATTCCACCTTTCAATCTTAATGTCAAAGCGTCATTAACTGATCTGTCCACAACGTAGTTGCTTCATAATAATGTTTTAATTATTGATTAATAATATTGATAAATTAGTGTAACATATGTGAGGGAGTAATAAAGCACGCCTTACATAGTCCCAAATGATATCTAAGAATTAAACTGCATCATACAGCTGTTTCGTCCTTCTAGGATTCGTTTGTGATACTAAAGGCCTAATTTTGAAATCAAGGAGACGACTGGTAAGGTGTCCTCGTTATCATTTACCGTATATATTTCTCTAATACCAAACGAACAACGATATATCAAGAAATAAATAAACAAAACATAACCTTTGTGCCATTTTAATTGTCCATTAGTTTGAAGCCAAATAGGCGACTGAGCAAAATCAGAAGTCAGAAGTCAAAATCTAGACGAGATGTACAATAGGATTTCATTTATTTTCATTTTTCAGATAGTGAATCACCAGTGTAATCTTCACCTTCCACGTTACAAATGTGTGATTTCAAAAAGGGTAATTGATTATAAAACTCCTTCAACTGTGATAAAACAATGGTCGTTGAAATACTATACCATCATGGGAGTTACAGTGACAGGAGGAAGTCATGGTAATGATCATGTGTGGACAATTATCCCAATATCACGTTACCGTCAAACATCCTTGTGTGTCAATAATTCCTCCTTATTTGTATGACAACAACACTGGGTGTGGTTCCCAGATAAAGTCAGGTAGTTTAAGTTATTTCGTCTGATGAGTACACTTTACCGAATTTGATTGATGTGTATTGTCAGTAAATTATCAAGTAAATAAATAAATAAAACAATAAATGAATAAATAGATAAAAATGAAAATAGCAATATATATATGAATAAAATCAATACGTCAAAATATGTTTGAGGTTTTTAAAGATACCTCTACTAAAAAAATACATTTTGTTTTCGTCATGCTTAAGATGTCTAGGATGTATTCATATAGATTATTATCCCTACTATCAGCGTTGTTTTGATTGGTCGTGGAACATCCTATGTGTAATGAACATTGGTTTATTATATCATTAAAAATAATGATAGTACTATGTCAACCTATACTATCACATTAAAAATGAAACCGGATATCTATCTACGTTAAACAATACTTTGACATACACAGTACTGTTCAATATATGGAATTTTACTTTTATATATAAACATACTTAAATATATTAAGCTTATACTTTGACATATAAAACACACCTTGATATGTTAATCATATACTTTGAAAATAACTATAAAACATTTCTGTTATATAAAAGCTGATATTTTGATAAATGAAACATAAAAATACTGATATTTGAACAGAATATATTCAGAAGATTTTATATTACAACAGTGTAAATCCTGCCCAATTAAGATAAATTTTAAAGACAAGAACTTTGGAAACTTTTAACTTACTGTTTACTTGATCTGAGGGACTGAATGAAGACTGATTCGTTTGTATAACAAACGGTGACGCAGACCTTTGTTGGTTAGCATTTTGATGTTTCGGGAACATTGTAAGGACGGTTCCAGCTGGCGCCCCTTGTGGATAACACTGGACTAAAATACCATACAAATTACAGGAATACAATTGTTCCATACACAATACCTATATCAGCTTATCTTATAACTAAGGATCGTTTGTTAATTTGAAAAATATTACAGATAATATTTTAGGCTTACCAGCTTTAATTTTCTACGTTTATCACACTGGTAAAAAATCTGACTAACTACTGCGATATCACTTACCTATTCCCATGCAAAACCCCAGAACCACAAATACCAGAAAGGATTTTATCGCCATGTCTGAAAGATAAAACTTTCAAGTCAAAACCGTTTTAACAGATTATATTTATTCCAGTATACATGGTTGGAATGAAAAAGTTATCAGAAGGATAAGAAAACACGATGTTGATGTTTTGTCATACGCTAAATTTATTACGAAAAAAGAAAATAACGTCGATCTTGACAATACATTCGCCTGTTGTGAATTATACACATAACAGTATCTGATTTAAGCAGATTCGTGTTTATCCAAACTTATTAAAATACTATCCAGTAATCAAAATGATATGCCACTGTTATTCAAACATAATTATGTTTATTAGTCCGACACCAATATAAAAATCTTAATCCAGACTAAAAACAAAACGTACCTTGTATCAGAATTAAACATCAGATCTTCGTTAAGGAAAGAGAAAGGTGTGCACAATAATACGCCTGTCGTTTAAACTTGTTACACTTCCTTGAAACGTCTTTTGTATAAAGAGAGGAATAAATGAAAAAAAAATCGTACCCACAGGTCATGTGACGTCTGGCAACATCCTCCGTCAGTCAAGCACAGTCTTATTTTTGATGATTTTGTAACTCTATATTTAATTAATTTCGTCTAGGGTGGTGGGTATACGGCGATGCTATCACTTCACAACAGAACATCATACTGATGATTCTGATCGGTGCAAATTCGTTAAACGAAGGGGAAAAGTGAACAAAATAAAGATATTTAAAAGGAATAACACAAATAAGCACAAAAATTAAAAAGAGAACAATTTTAACCAAGAAATTTTATGTTCTCGATCATACAACCAGTGTTCATGAAAGTAAAACAATCTAGCACACTATCTAACACTTATAAAACATCAAATTAACTAATTTCATCATTCCCGTGTTTTTTAGTGTGTACTTTGCTCATTCCTTTAGGTTTGGGTTTACTTTTGTTCTATTGTACCGTGTAGCTTCTTGACAGAACACAGAAAAAATCTTTTTGCAGGTGGTTTGGATTATTCATACTGGAAAACTACCTGGCCTGAACAGTAATGTAGTGGTTTAAAAGCTATCAGTTTTGTAAACTCTGGAATACCAAGAAGTATTCTAGCCTTCAAAGAAGCGCGATATTTCTGATTTGTGGGGTAATCAACCAATAAACATTATGATGTGGCGTCTCTTTAAAGTAGCCGACGAATACCTCATTGATAGTCATACGAAAGGCACGTCAAAAAAATCATACTCAGCATTTGGGGGAAAATTGGACGATCCGTTTGTCAGTGAGACTAACTCACTAACTACTGAGTTGTAGCGACCCCATGAGAGAGTAAGAACCATTAAGTGTAAATTCACCCATCTTACATATTACTGTTCATTTAATGAATCACATTTTAAACTAATGTCAATCACTTCATAAGTCATACTGCTCCATCATCACTTCTCTTTAATAAAACTGAGCACATTTATATGAAAATTAAGAGCAATTCTTCCTTATTTTCACACGAGTTTTACATTACGGTTTAATTGAAATTTCAGTGAATTAGATTATGTATTTGTTTATTCATTTTCTCATGTTTCAGCCAATTATGATGTTGTTGTCGAACTAACCTCTACTTTTTATTACCCTATTGAGGCTGTAAAACGCAGTTTATTTCGTGTTTTGACAAACTTTATTGATTAAAAAATGTTTATTTATTGTTCATTTGAATGTTTTGTTTTTATATTTACATGGTAACCTGGTATTATGTCCTCATTTAAACAGTTTCTCCACAAATTGACATTAGTTTCGTAAACACCTGGTCTTATTCCTTTTTTAAGGGAAATTACCTCGTAAATCTTTCTTTTTATCATAGTTTGCCTTAGTTTCATTGAATTTGACATTGAGTTGAGATTCTGCTTGATTTTCTCTGTGGATAAAAAAAACAACGACTAGGAAGGAGGCGTATTCATATTGAAACAATAAACAGGACCTGTCGTATTATACAAAACAGAAATATTTAATCCGTAGTAATTGCTAAGTATTATATTTTGGTCGAAATTAATTTTATAAGAAAAAAGATATATTAGTCGGGATCAATAATTTACGGACATCCTCTGCTATTTACTTAGCTGTAACACAGGGTGATACTTCAATACATATTTATTTACAGATGATACATCAAACACATAAATGTGTGATGACGATGATGATATTGCTTACACTATGTGAATACTTAAACAAAAGCCATGATCTCTCGTACAATTAGATGAGAATGCTGGTATGCATTATTTATGTAATATTGCCGTACAGAACTGTATAGGTTTTTTGTTGCCTTTCTCCTCTGCTACTTTCTATTAAATGCATGACCTCATCTATTTGATATGAACAAGTGTTTTACGTATATACCTGATATGTATGTATCTATTGCAGAGCTTTTTACTTTGCTGATATGTAGTACAAACATATGTTAAACTGAACGAGTGAAACGACCATGCTTTATCCAGGTGTCCCCCATACAGAAAACTTTCATATAATCGAGACATTATAGACAGGGTTAAAAGCATCAGGTGAACGATAACACGAAATGGTGGTCGGGAGAGTTAATTGCTAATGACACACACGTATATAAGAAGGAAACTGCTGTAATTTTCTGCAGGATTCGAACAAACATGGAGATATCTTCCATTGTGATTTTGCTAACCCTCCCGGAACTCGTTTATTCGCTGGGTTAGTATATTTATTGCTATATGGTAGGGAAACTGTGAGATATGAAGTTATTATTAAAACGTCCAATGTAACGTAACAATAGTATTTTTTATTGCCAAGATGAGATATATGTTAATTCTAACGTCCATAAAATAGTGCGTGGACAAACGGACCTCAATGGTAGGTATAAAGAGTATCAAAGTATAGGTTATGCAATTTAAAAAAGTGAATGCAACTTGGTAAAATCATTTATTACAGGTCATTGTGTTTTGAACATGCTGCATTTTAGAATATAACGATAGAATAGAATAATATATAAGATACCGTGTTCCTATATTTACTGATATAGGTTTGCCGAATCAGCACCAAGTGGCATGTGAACACTCGCTCAACAACGCAATTCACCTGAGGTGTCCGTGTGGGAAAGTCTTGTACGTACAAGCTGCAAATTACGGACGTCTGGACAGGAAAACATGTGGTTACCATGACAATGAACAATGCCGGGCAACACGGGCTGTAGATATTGTCAGAAACCATTGTAACGGAAAACCAAAATGTGACGTCAGAGCTCATAACGGAGTCTTCGGAGACCCCTGCCGAGGCGTTCCAAAGTATCTGGAAGTAGTTTACGACTGTGTGAGTCCAGGTGAGACGATACTTTACCTTATGTCAATTAATTGATTTTCAGGGTAGAAATTATTTGCACAAAAAAGGTACGTAACAAAAGTTTTAGGTTAATGTGATGTGATCGGCAAATGGTAGCCTTTCACAAAAAACTGTATCCACAAAAATATATTCATGGATAATCACTGTCAATTCAATGTTCTAATAGCCCTATTACTAACCCTGACATTTCTTGTACAATCAATATAACAATTAAGTTCGACCACAGTGAATTGATAACAAGAACATCCTACATTACATATAATATTTAAATAAACAATGTAGGAATTGCTGAATTTGACCGATTTCCATCCCGATACATATATCAGGATTACTTATAATTTCTTTATAAAAGTATTTTCCCCAGAAATACCTAAGAACAGTACATCACAAGTTGTTTCCGTCATTTTTTTCTTTTAATCATGTTAGTCATAATTTCTTGATCTGTTATTTACAAAATTTACTACATTTATTCAATATGTATTTGAGATTTGTTCATACAATATGAGGACACACAGGACATAGTACAGTGTTTCTCAGTATTAGTATGAAAAAGATCGTATTAGTGTTTCTGCCGAGAAAACTATTTTGTCAAAGAATTTACTGTTTTGCTCTCCTCTGGTGTCCATGCATCCTCGATATTTCAGGGGTTACGATCACTTTCGCTCTATGCACCCCTGGAACATGTCTTCGGAAAAATGAATGATTAGTTTGATCCTTTGATGTACATCAAACGAATATCGAGGCCGCACAACGGTATATTGTAATAGGTTTGAAGTTGGGTGTCGCTCCTTTGTAATCTCCAAAAGGAGCGTTTCAACCTCTAATTGGTCAGCTTTTCTTCTGCTGGAACCAATCAATTTACTTCACTTGTGCCTTTAAGGTGAACAGACAAGGGCAGACAGCGAAAGTGATTGTAATCCCTGGAGTATCAAGGATGGTGTCCCTGCAGATTGGTGAAACATGTTTTTTACCACTCGCTGATTATACTGGTATCCGTGTTCTTCACATTTGACAGGCATGAGGTCGGCGATTGTGTGCGAGAATCAAAAATCCAATATCCGCTGCCTACCAGGTCATAAACTGACACTGTTAGGTGTTGACTATGGTCGTCATGATGAAATCACCTGTCCTAGTCCAGCCATGCACAATTTGTAAGTTTGTTTCAAATCATATCATTAAACTTCATGTTATATAATTTTTATGTACTAAAACTCATAGACAAGAACAGAGATAGCAATGTTCCACTGGAAACCAGAATATAAAACCGACAAGAACTTGCAATGACAAATTATTGACTGTTTTACTGTCTATTTCCATCACACGTACGGCAACATTTGAAAATGTTAAAATCGATTTTATAAGGTTTGAGATAAACTGAAAATTATTTTATGTTGGTTTTATAATGTAATGTTTATTTCATTTTATTTGAAATGAAACGTATAATAACTGCAGTGTGTCTATCAACATTTGAATTTATTGATTTATTGAACTCGCGACCACTTACTACTTCAGTTAACTAGCACAACTAGATGTTACACTGCTGAAATATGCTTAGTCGCCATTTCCAAGTTTTTTTTTTTTGTTTTTTGTTTGTTTTTTGTTTTTTTTGTTTGTTTTGTTTTTGTCACAATTCTCCACAGTCAACAAAATTTGTTAAAATTTATCTTATGGCAGTAAGGTAACATGGAATCTTGTTTTGTTACACTGGAATCAAAAAAAGAACCAGAAGGTCCAGATGTTGCTTCCAAAGTACACAATTTTGAACTAATTTTAATATGGTGAATAATGAAACCAGTTTTACTTACAATGACGTCCATTAATAGGTAACAACAAAGTTGGCATACAAAAAACAGGTTGAAGACGATAAAAAGACAGCATAATGATGCAAATTAACCTGAGTCATCCGATGTGCCATTTTCCAGTTGCCCAATATTTCCATAGATTTCGTTATTTTCAAGTATGTGATAAGTACATGTGTATGTTCTGAAGTGTGCCACTATTCGAATTAACAATATTGGGGACTAAAAGTCCACTAGCACTGTCTACTACATGCAGCTTCAAAGACTGCACAATAGACACAAGTGAATAGCACATTTCAATACGAATTTAGAATTAGATACAGAAGAGCATAGAAATACATCAAACTGTATGTTTCGTCCTTCTGGGATAATGTATAGCGCATACCTTTACTAATTAACAGTCTGTGTCACGCAATCCTAGCCAGGAATGAGGCTGTACAAAGACTATCAAAAATTGAAATTAATCCATTAACATAAATACATATAGGACAGCAAGGTTTTGTTTCCAGAAACTAATGCTCATTTGTTACATTTTTCATCAATAAAAATGAATAAGATATCATTCTTGTTAAAGGTCATTTTATCAATTACATGCCTAAACATTGTGACGCTACAATTTCACATTTTTAACGTAACGTTGATATGGAGAATGAAATGCTACTTCGGTAACTATATATGGCAAGAAATTAAAGACGCGGTACAAAATGGACAAGAAGTAACATAATCACGATAACGTTATTACTGTGATGTAAAACGACCGGAGTCATCCCATCAATTATTGGCTTTTTAGTATATCTATTTATATTACAGGACATGCCATAGCAATGTAGCCATGAAGAAATTACTCCATTGTAATGGAAAAGAATCTTGCAATCTGGTTGCGAAAAATTCTGTGTTCGGAAACCCTTGTATGGGTACCTACAAATACATGGAAGTCAGATACAGATGTGGTGAGTTAGATAAAACAATCCGTCTCCAATTGTAATGACTACATTTAAAACATCAGGACGTATTTGAGAATTCCTTGATGTTGGTTAAAAGTCAGTATACGATTTTTTATATATGTATAAGGTTTCACACGTGATCCGAATTATTTCGTGTAGATATTCTGACATATTATCATCCGGAGGTGCATCATGACTTATTTTCCTTTCTCTCGTATTATGTCTTCTTGCTTTCCATAGATTCCATCGTCTTAGAATGTTAAGACTCGTGCATGTCCTCGCTTTGTGTAGATAATAGTATCTATCTGTTGATGTCCAGGTTTACTTTGTTTTGTCGATGATGTTTAGAATGGTTTCACTTCGTGTGTTTGTCCTTGTTCCGTAATATGGTATTTCTGTCATATTAAACTACTGCTATCGATTCGATTATTTACTATTGTTCTGAGACCTTTCGATTTACATATTGCTTTAATTTCAAATTTACTATGCACGTGTTGTTATCACAATTTTTTTTTGTTCTTCAGAAAAAACAAAGATCATTGTGTGTGAGAGCCACAATTCTAAATACCATGAGTGTGAGTTTGGAGGAGATTTCGATACAATCACACTTATACAACAGAAGTCACAGGCAAACTGCATACACGGTCTGAGATTTGGCATCAACGGTAACAGTGTATGGGTAGACCAAGCTTGCTATGGAACGTTCCGTCTCTCTAAGACGGTGTGTGACGTAAGTAACGTTGCTAGTTATGTTGTTTCTGTACACATTGTCTTCAAAAAACATGTAAGTAGACACATTGTATATAAACAAAGTGGTTTAAGGTCAAATAGAACCACCCGTTCATTGTTCATATACTTGCAACATAATGTCTAGTACAAAATATAGATATCAGTCTGGCTTGCTATATCTGATAAAAATAGTCATTTTATCATGTTTAAAATATTATCAACAATCCAAGGATGGTGACACATTTTTAAAAAGGTATTAACTATAGAGATTTTAATTTTATCGTTAAGGCATATTTTCTATTAGAAGGACTTTTTGTAAAATTGTGAAATTCGTATTATATTTTCAGAACGACTGACACTTTTTGGATTGACAAATATTACATCATCCTGTCAACCTACTGTTTTAGGCGATATTTTGTACCGCCAGATGACTCGGAAGAGATGTAATATTCTAAAATCGATCAATACATATGTTATGATTGAATTCTCAAATCAAGAAAAAAAAACCAATAAAGATGTATTTTAATTCTATGTATCATGCAAATTAAATAAAAGAATCCATTGATTTGATTGTTTATTAGTGTTGTTGTTGTAAACGTTATTTAGATAGGAAGGTTCAACACCTTCTTGTCTTGATTTTAACATCTCTCTTTTGTTTCCTTCTTTTTATGAATACTTGTCTCCGTGAAAAGAAAAATGAATTAACTTCAAAGTTATTGTTTAAAGACGGTATAAATGATTCACATAAAACTATAAAAAAAGGTATATCGCACAAGTTCAGATTTCATGTGATGCTTTTTTAAGAAAACTATACAAAATGATCTACTTATGTTCAAACATACAGTATTTCATTTGCAGATGTTTTTAGTTCTAACTAGATCGATTTACAAACGTTCGCGCGGCCATGATTTCGTCATAACAGGTTTGCGATGTTATAAGCCGAACAGAATTAGATATTTGTATAAATTAAGAAATAAATCCAATCAAGTAATAAAATTGCAAAAGTCAAGTGAACAGCATACACACTTGTGTATTTATCCTATAAAATATATGAACCAGTGACATGTCAGCTAAGGATTTCCCTATGCGCTATTTCCACCAATTTCGCCCGAAGAAACTGACCACAGGAGAGATATTTTAATGCAAACAATAGTTTAAAGGTCATGAGAATGAGCTCTTAGATATATCAGAACAGCCACAAGTTTTCCAACCTGAGCGAGCACAAGTCTGTATGAACAGCCGGTTGATTTATACTTCCCAGTACATTTCAATTATTAATTTTCTATCCTATATTCTTGGTCCGTTGATAAATAATTGGCAAGGGATAATTTTACACTTTATACAATCGATTTTAAAAGATCAACAACAAGTATTGTATATTTCCTCATTGAATCATGAACTATATTTAATTTTACTGCATCTTCCCGTCTGATTTTCGATATCTCTTTCAACCATTTTTATTTTTGCTGTCACCTTCTTGGTTCCAACGCTTAAAATTATTGACATCAAGAACGAGTCCTAAAAGGACTAAATAACTGTTTGATGCAGAACAATTCATATCTAGCTATTCTATTAGATTATACAAAAGAAACCCCAGCTAATAGCAAGTCTCAATACAGATTTAGAATTAAATAGGGCAGAGTGAGATGATGAATAAGCTGTTTCATACAGCTGTTTCGTCCTTCCAGGATTCGTTGGTGATACTAAGGGCCTAAATTTGGAAGCGAAGGAGACGTCTGGTTAGATGTTCCAAATATCATATAGACACCGTATATATTTCTCTACTCACAACACCGGGATATCAAAAATAAATCAACAAGGCATAATTTTCTATGCCATTTAATTGCCTATTACAAATTACAATTTCTACATTTTGTAAATGGTAAGATAGCGAGGTCGTGTTCTCCAAACGGGCCATCACTTGGTATTTTAGTAGCCGCCCATCTTTCGGTAAGACGATCCGTGGTATCCTGGAAAAGGGGGAAAGCTATGTTGAGCAAGCTTTATAGAAAAACATAAACAAGTCTTACATATAAACATATATTTAATTTACTTATCAAACTGGGGTAAAAGTTACAAATAGTAATTAAAAACTAGAATCACATACATATAGCACCAATGACGAACATTTTTTGAGTTATCCCATGTCCGGGGCTCGAACTCAAGGTCTACGACACCAAATTCACTAGACTTATATTTCATATATTCTAGGTACTACATTATCTTATCAGTAGTGAAGGACAAAATCTTTATAAAATGGCACAGATGGAGGGCGACAGCATTTACAGCTATATCTGTTATGTAATGATATCATAGAAAATCATGAAACATTTTATTCTTACCTCCGCCCATGCCTCCAGTGCCGCCCCAGCCACTCATCCCATTCATTCCTCCCCAACCGCCCATACCACTCATTCCGCCCATTCCACCCATTCCTCCCCAACCGCTCATGCCACCCATTCCGCCCATTCCTCCCCAACCACTCATGCCACCCATTCCGCCCATTCCTCCCCAACCACTCATGCCACCCATTCCGCCCATTCCACTCATTCCGCCCCAACCGCTCATGCCACCCATTCCGCCCATTCCTCCCATTCCGCCAATTCCACTCATTCCCCAGGGAGATCCAGAGCCGCTACTTCTGTATGATCTGTAGTAGTACGATCCGCCTGATGGCATGCTCATGCCGCTCATTCCACCCCAGCCGCTCATGCCGCCCATGCCGCTCATTCCGCCCGTTCCATACATGGGAAAGGTGCATACAGCAGCTCCGACCAGGCAGCTGAGCAAAATGGCGATGATCTTCATCTTTAAAAAAAAGATGGGAAGCTAGATGTTATAGATACATTTACAAAACGTGTATAAAGCATTTTACTATTTATTATTCAAGAAAATAGGAATAAGTCCGTCAACACCAGTATAGAATTCTGTTTCTCACTGGCTGCACTATCCAAAGGAGTATGTGGCCGGTAAATAATAACCTTATTTTCTTGATTTAAAATGAGAATTTACATAAGAGGTTTAAGAAAAGGTAAATTCAATCATTGGAGCATGCCATGATATTGCTTTGGTGTTTACAGCTTATATAAATGGTATAGCTTTGCAGGGAAACGGGAAAAATTACAAGTCAGAATATGCAAGAATGTCATTTTCATGCTTTTTGTAAAACGCTAGAATCTGTAACGGCATGAAATATATCCGAGACCATTCTTAAACAAAAGCAACAAAGAAAATACCACCATGTCAAGCGAATCTTAGATCAAAATAAAATTTTATGAAACTAGGTCAAAATTAGAGCGAAGGAAAGATTTGCACGAAGACTTCTGAATAAGAACAAGTAGGATAGGTCCGTCTTCATTAAACCGTGCTTACCCTCGAATACACACTTGTCCTCAGGCTCACAGGCTTTTGGAAATAAATGTGACATATAAATAAATACTATTTACAAAACTTGAAGGAATTCCGGAAGACCTTCAAGTGTAAAGTAAAAGTTGGGTTGAGCACAGACTTAATGATGGAGCATGAAAATTGCCTCTGTTGTTATAGAAGGGTAAGCGTCTGATGCTTCAACGACGACACCCGCCAAGTAAGCAATGACACGTTCCAAAATAAGAACAGGTTAAACAACAATGGAACCACCGGCCACGAGCACTAAACAATTACAGCTTTATATTGCATAAGAAAATGGAATATATTCTAGTGAGATCCTTGTTACAACCGTAAAACGTTCCCATAATCTTCACATATCTTCATCTTTAGTAACCCAGCGTTGTGTTTGTCAGGTGTCATGATATCTTGAACAGGCCTTAGAATATCGAATAAACTGCGACATGGCAACTATATATTCCAGGGATGCAGGCACGTTAAAAAATTCACAATAGGGAAATTTGAATTACCACGTTTCATACTGCTTAGTGGAAAGCTGTACCTGTTGGTTTCGTTATGGGAAAAACAACTGATTTAGAAGAGTCTATCGTGTTCTTGATTTCCAATCCTGATGGGTATGTATGACAGACATGGTCCATGAATCTCTTGTTATTGAAAGACAAGTCATTAATACGTAAAATAGTGAAATTTGTGGACTTCGCAAGATCTTTGTAACCTGTTTTGATAAGTTCTTCAGTAAACTCAAACTCGTACAAAAACAAGTCATCCAACAGAGAAGCTCAACTAGTTCCCATATATTGCAAATAGTGTTTTGGAAGATCTTACCACCAAGCTCGACGAAGACGTTGTCTATCAGAAATTTGAGCATGTTAATTATATTGCCCGCCGTATATTTCTTCTTTGATTGGGGCGTATTTTTCACGAAACACGCTTCAGTAAATTTCATCACTAAATATTTGTATCGCCTTTCACTTGTCTTCTCATAACGATAGAACAAAGGCGTTCTTTCAGTTGAGAATGGGGTCTAACTGTATTTGCTAAAGCATTTGATCAAATACTCGTTTATGAAGCCAGCTAATGAGGTACAAAATTGGTCATTGGTGATCAATCATTTGGACAAATTAGCGAATAATTGCCTTTTTAGATGTTAAATCAAAACATATATGTTATGACCCAGGGTCAACATTATACAATTATTGACTCTATATGAGATTAATACAAGGGTTTATCAACCCGAGTAAAGTAATATTCACTGAGAGCGAAGCATACAATAAATACACTGTATTGTTCTCGTTCTAATGTCAGGATGTGGCAGCCAGGGTCAAGGGATCGATGTTTGGGTGTAGCTACCAGGGTCAAAGGACAAAGGTCAGCAGATAATATTCTCGTTCTGATGTCTGGATGTGGCTGCAAACGTCAAGGGATCGATGTTTGGGTGTAGCTACCAGGGCCAAGGGACAAAGGTCAACAGATACTATTCTCGTTCTGATGTCTGGATGTGGCTGCAAACGTCAAGGGATCGATCTTTGAATGTGCCTACCAAAGGCAAGGGACAAAGGTCAACAGATAATATTCTCTTTCTGATGTCTGGATGTGGCAGCAAACGTCAAGGGATCGATGTTTGTGTGTAGCTACCAGGGCCAAGGAACAAAGGTCAACAGATAATATTCTCGTTCTGATGTCTGGATGTGGCTGCAAACATCAAGGGATCGATGTTTGGGTGTAGCTACCAGGGCCAAGGGACAAAGGTCAACAGATAATATTCTCTTTCTGATGTCTGGATGTGGCTGCAAACGTCAAGGGATCGATGTTTGAATGTGCCTACCAAAGTCAAGGGACCAAGGGTAGACATTGTCTTGATCGGGCACCCATGGCAAATCAGAACAGATTGTCTAAGTGACACAACACCTACTGTAGATGGATGTCAGAATATTGTAATAGTACCACTTTCTAATTATAATTTCGATTTACTTCATTCCTCTATTTGTGACATGCTATCATCATTTTCAGAGTATCGCTATCGGTTGTTGACATTAGAATTAAACATAAGATTGTATCAAACATGGAAACATAGGTATCGTTATAAGAAAAATAAACTCATATTCTAAATCCTGTGATATTTAATATGAAAACATTTATGATTTAAATGTGTGTCTACCAACTTAACGAAGTGTACACATTCAAATCTGGCCAGTTAAATATATATATATACACACCAATTTGTAATGTTCGAAAATGTTTTTAGAAAAAAAAATCTCCAATGAAGAAATATATTTTAAAGTACTTACCTTGATTTGAGAAGTGCTGCACAATGCTCTGTTACCAAGTCTCGTTTGAAATGAGTGATATATAGGGTCATTCTGTGACACAGTCAGGTATATATAGGATATGTGTTCGTTTGTTTCGCGTCAGTTTTACTTGTTGACAGGTAACATTCATGTGTGGTAAATCATTTAATGTAAACAAAAACATTGCTACCTTAACATTTGACAGAAACAACATCACAGTAAACATAAAAAATTAATTTGTCACAATTAAATTAATATAGTGTCAGGTACCAGACGCTTGTCTATCAACGAAAACAACCATTCTTAACATGGCCGGAAATGTAAAATACACGCAAAAACACGTTATTTTCAAAAAGGTCACAGCATTGATTGGTTGTCATATTGCAATAGAAACGGAAAATAAAAACAAAAATTACATGATAAACAACGAGAGTTCAACGTGACTTAGAACATCCTGACAATACACATGTGTAACTTACATATTATACATACTTACATACATGACGTCAGTATTCTTCTGTAAACATTGATAATAAACATTGCATAAAAGAAAATCTTTTCTAATGAATAAGTGACACTACTTGAAATTCCTAAAATATCAAAACGCTCTTTATAACTGAACAGAGAAACAGAACATAAAACATCCCATATTTTCGAGATGCAGTGTTGTTGCTATTCAGAATTGGAAAATTCGTACCAGGGAAAATAAAATCGTCATGTTTATCATATAATCCGAATATCGACTCAAGACCGATAAAAGAAAGTCGGTAGAAGAGCAGAATAATTCTGTTATTATACTCCTTGCAAAGTTTGGTGTTAAACTGTCCCAGTTAGTTACAAAAAAACTAGGACACCATGATTCATATCAAAGAGTATCGGATATGTATAACTGTTTTGAAATGAGATCGTAATAACGGATATGTTTCTACGCTTGTACTACTTTAATGATATTCGGAATTTCTAGAGTCTCTGTGTAAAATGTTTTACAATCTATATATACCAAGACAATAGTGACATTTGATAGATTAAGTCCAACATATCAATTCAACAACGTCACATAGATATAAAAATACATAAAACAAAATATATAGGAATATAGATAAGTGAAGCGCAAGGGTAACTTTTATTGCAAAATCGGTAATAAGGTAAAATGGTAAACGGAAAACAATTTGTCTCTTTGTTTCAAATTCGAATTCCTATCTCCACGAAATAGTATAAAGTTAAAACTAATATAAATTTTATTCCATTCAGATTTCGTGAACACGTCACAGTTCATCGACGAATTCAAGAGCTAACGAAATATTAATCATAAATTTCAGACCACAAATATACATATGTGTGTCTTTTTGTAGAGTCCAGAGAAAATCACCGATGTTCATGATATCAGTCTTGATGTTTTGTGGTGTTCATTGATTTTATCGTCTTTACTGTAATATTGATATTTCACCGTATCGACTTTTGTTTTCTAAGTTTCAATTACCATCACTCTCTAGATTAAGTTAAAACACAATTAGTGTCCATGTATTATTCTAAACCCTCCCTCCCCTTTATCTCCATTACATGATATGTATTGCTTAACCTGATGTTTCAAATACCTAGTTTGACCTTAATTCACTCACACGTGCTTGTTACGTGCAAGCGTACGCACAATATCCATTGGTTATTTAAATACAGTCACGTGATCATTTGTTTTACATAACCTTCAAAAGAAAGCTGGGTGTGACAGTCGTTGAGTTTGACAAGGAAGTAGAGACAAGGGGTAATTAAGCCCAAACAAGTCTGACCTAGGGGAATGGCCTTGATTTGTACAAACAAAAAAATAATTTAGTTTTTTTCTGATATTTTCATGATGTATTAATCATTCGAGGCTGTGATGACACATATGTCTGTTTTGTGTCAATCTTTAAAGATATATATTTAATAAACAGAAAGCTGAGCAGCTAGTATCGGCTTTGTAACATGCTTTTTCTCCATTTTCACAACCTTTGACTTGTTACTTTTCATCATGATCTTTATAATTGACAAGATTTCGATTTGTATACAATACAACATTTTCATCTGTATTCACTACATCTATTGATCTGTAAACAGCAAGAACAGTAAACAGTGGTAGGCCCAGTATCGCCCTTATAG